TGGGAGGTTCTCAATACATCTTAGCTTAGCGGCTCCATCAGGCGGCTCCATCAGTTTCTCTCTCTCTCTCTCTCTCTCTCTCTCTCTCTCTCTCTCTCTCTCTCTCTCTCTCTCGTGTCGCCGAGTCAGGCGGGAGGACTTGTGAGTAGTGTGTGTTCGTCCCGCAGCACAGCCCATATCGGGGCGACACGACACGTAAGCCTGAATCAACATCACGGTGCGTGTGTGGCTTGTGTCGTCTGCTCGTGTCGCGAAGTGTTCACACACCTACACTGCCAGCCGCGATGTGGGACCCGGCATCGCCTCATGCGATACAATGTGAGGTGGCCCACTTGTTGTGATGCGTTTTATGGGGGGACCTGGCGGGACCGTATATGTCCTCCCGCCACCTGCTGCAGCCACAATGGAGCGTCTTGCATGCAAGACTTGAGGGCGTCGACGCAGTGTTCACGCCGCGCTCTCTGCCGTCTGCATGCCGCATACTCAGCCACGCCTTTCCGTCATTTGACTGCTATACGCTCAATATGCCCACATTTTTGCATTCCTCTGTAAAGTGACAAACTTTGGCCTCCGTTTAGAGACTGCCAAAATTTGATTTGCTTCAAGTTAAGTCCATCATTTGACTTTCAAAGTGGCCAAAAATTGGCGCTCTTTTGAAAGAACGTCAAGTTTTTCCTATGCTAAAAATTTTCTGTCTCTAAAAAAATGATTCTTGAAAAAGTGCAAACATTTTGGCAAGCAAGGTGATCATGGCGTTTCTAGTGTAGTTGATCAAGAAGAGGATATGAAGGGTAGCAAATCTTTGGGGTGACGCGGCGACGAGAAAAAGGACCATGTTGCGTATAGAAAGAAGGACGTGTTGACGCGAGACGACTCTTTGCTCAACTTTCCTCAGATTTTTCGCAAAAGGAGAGCGAGGGCAGCGCCGTTCATTAATTACCCCGGCCCTTTTGTTTTGTCCGAGGTGTCCGCGCGGCCGGCGTTGCGCCGCGAGCAGAGCGGGGAGAGAGCGCAAGGAGCCGCAGAATCAATCAGGACTTCCTGTCAGACGGTATGGTACGGACCATCTGCACGTTACGTGGCGCGGCGGGGACCTGGCGGGGGACCTGGCGGGGGCGCGGCCAGCCGTTGTGAAGCAGGTGATGGCACACATTTGAAAACAAACAAAAGTAGGCCGGGCCGGCCGGGACCCGACCGGGAGAGGCGCCCGCCGCGCCGGCCGCTCTCCAGCGGCGCGCGTTGGGTGGCCTAGCTCCCTGGCGCCCACCACAACCTGGTGCGACCTGGTGCCGCAGGTGGAAAAATATAGTCGCTAGTGCTTTTATTGATTTAACGGGACAATTTTGCATCAGCGAGTAAAAATGGGTTTATGGACAAATTTAGGTACACTGAATTAACGCAAGTGTGTGAATGGCGCACACTCGTAGGTGTGCGTAACGCCCATTCGTACACTTAAGGGAGTAAAAGTGTGAATTTTTCCATGAAATTACACTCACTTGTGCCTTCATGTGTACGAACGGCGTCCACACACCTACAAGTGTGTTATATTCGCACACTTGGGTATTCGGTGTAAACGGTAATGAGCTATACCATACAGCTAATATACATGCGCCAATTCCTATGATATTTTTTTTAAACGGACCCGTTTCTACCAGACAGGGGGGAGGAGCGACATGGTTTAACGACACCTGTTGCACTTTCGGCCGCATCTGGGTAACAGTCGAACAATGAACACCCTGAGTAGTCGGCTCCCCGCGCGCGCCGGCCACGCAAAAAAAAAAATCGTCACTACTTAAAAACTGCACGCCGCATCGATTTAAGACTAAAGGTGTATTGAAAGCATAGATGAACGCTAATATTGCCGTTGGCGCCGGTGTGCGCACAGGAACAAGCCAATCTTCGCCTCCAACTGGACGAAGCAGTCCTTTTCGGTGTGAAAGATTATTCTGTATCGGGTGGGTCTGCGACTGTCAAAAAAATTGCTAGTTACTCTAAAAGATGCCGTTAGTGGTTGACCTTTAAACCCTTAAGACCTTTATGTCTTTAATAGATGCGGTGAGTGGTTTTTCTGAACTGACCATTTTCCAAAACTCTTCATTTCACAAGTCTACCCCCTTAAACTAAAGGTGCCTCATAAACAAAGATATCACCCAAAAAGATGCATACTCAAAGGCCACATTTCCTAAACCGTGGGTTCGTTTCGCAGTTAACAAGAATTAGTAACGTTTTTCTCTAGTCCCTGAAAGTTTTCTGGCCCGCGATTTTGTTTGTTGCACCGCACAAAGTGTCGCACTTATTTTTTTACGGTTGCTGCTGCTGCACCAAGGAAAATGATATTGTATTAAGCAATTTTTAGACAAAGTCAAATCGACTTTTGAAAAAAGACAATATTTGCCTTTAGAGTAAGATGATTCTCCAACACGATAGATAATGTGTCATATTATTTTAAGAGCAAATTTGGCCTTGGGTCACAGTACATAACAATCAGCTTTGCAGAGTGTGGCATGTGCCATGGCGTTTGAATCGTTCAAAATTTCAATTAGATTTGTAACATCCCTGCTCCCTAATTTCGGTGGAGTTTTTTGCAATAATTTTGCAGTGACGGATAGGGGATGCAGAGAGGTGGATGGGTGGATGGATGGGTGGATGGATGGATGATGAAGCGAGGGGCGCGAGAGGGCTGCTGTTGGACAAAGATTCGATTGGTATCTGACTTTTCTCTGAGTTATTCAATGCTTTGCGTCATTAGCGGGGTGGCGCGTCTGCAACACGGCACAAGGGACGTCCGTCCGTCTACAGAGGGGCCCCGTCCGCCCGTCTGTCCGCTCTCCAGCCCGTCCGTCCGTCTGCCGTTTCGTCGGCGTGATGCATACGCTCTTGATTGCGGTCCCTTGCCGACTGATAGAGGCACCGCTGTACGCTGTGCGCGACGTGTGCCTCGACATAATGAACGTCATACACCGTAAAAAAATAGAGAGGAAAGAAGGAGTACAGGAGGGAACGTGAGAACGTTAAAAATACGGCGTATCCCGTGCGCTGAGCTACCGAATAATAACAAAATACGTACATCTGACGTTTATAATTTCCAGCAGACGTTATTAACAAAACTGTGAGGTCTCAAACGATAGTTTACACATTGTAGGCGATAAAATTTATTTAAAATGATATTAACTGTGTAGCTGTAGCGTCGTTCGGAAGGCATTGGGAGAGATAAGGAACGCTACAAACTGAAGCTTTAAAGCTGTATCAGATTAAAGTAACGCTACTAATTAATTAGTAACTTTTACTCGATAATTTTATCATGGCCTAAGTTCGACTATGGTCTCCTGTCGTCTCGAAAAGGATTGAACACCTTTTCTTTACATGCCAAAAGACGTTTTTGCATGGGATTTGGCTCTAAAATTTCGAAAATCACCCACTTATCGCACCAAATTCAAGATCCCTCTTTATTCCTGAAGGTCAGCAGCAGACTATCATTGGAACCTGATCGGCACACAGCCCCGCCCAGTGTGCCTGGCTGTCCCCTCTGTGCCCTCCGCGCCGTGCCCTGCTCTCCTGACATTCCGCTCCCGCCCTGCGGCTTACGGGTCCCCATCGTACGCGATGGCGTCAGCGGAGAGGTTTATTGCCCGCCTCCCCTCAATATTTTACTTCCTATCTTTTTTTTTTCTTATAACAATTAATTTTTTCCCCTCCTGACCCGATGCTCCTCTCGCCTATCGAATTTATGTCCCCCGATTAGTCACGTGGGAAGGGGAGGGCGCTCAGCGATGTGCCGCCCTCCGCGTGCGGTCTGCCGCTACCGCGCGTCTCAACCGACAACTGTCGCCCCCCCCCCCTCTCTCTCTCTCTCGCACGCGCACGCTAGCGCCAGTTCGTTTGGTTCGTCCAACAGGAATTAAATTTGGCTTCTTTTCCTTCTCACGTTCTCCTGTCGCGCGGTACACTTTACGGCTCTCTATTATAGTCTACCTTCCTTCATTTTGGCAATGATTCACAAAATGCCGTGTCCTTGAGGGCTACCTCTATACATCTCTCGATCCCATCGCCTCACACCTCCGTCATTATTATTTCGTCCTGATCGGGGCGCGTTGTGCCGGGGTGGTGGCGTGTGTGAGATTGGCTCTGTGTGGCGCCTCGGCCGATGCACGGCGCCAGGCGGCTGAGGTGGGCCGAGCCTTGAGATCCGCGCCGATTACAGGCGGTCTGTAATTGTTAAACGGTGTTGCACTAGAGCGGCTCACAGAGCGGCTCGCTGGGGGTCATGAGCGGGGGCGCTGCTCGCGAGACCTGATGACAGGCGCTCCAGCACGAGCGAGGAAACATGATAAGGCTTGTTCAGTGAGGTTCGGATAACGCTTTACTATATGAAATGGGAGCTTATTTAGTATCATGTTTCTAATTGTTATTTGTTAATCGAATTTCTTTTGTTTTGCAACGGTCCATGCGAAAGTCGCAATTTTAAAATCGACTGCACTTTTATGTTTCGGTTAAAATCTCCTTGTTTTAAAATCCTGATAAAAAAAAGGCAATTTCGCTCCAAGAAAGGCACATTATATATCTGCGTGTATTTGTACACACCATACACACATTTTTAACCATTTAACACGTTCCTTGCGGCGTGACCACTAGGTACTCTCCCATGTAAAACATGGGCATCAATAATCAGGGAATGCGTTAAGGCCCGGTTTTACGACTTAAAATGCAAATTTTCCGACTAAAATGCTTCAATTCGTTCCTCTACAAAAATGTTACTTCACTGTAAAAAGTTCTTGTAGTTTTACGAAAAAATATGTTGCGAAATGCTTCGTAAAGAATAATTAACGTAAATATTTCGTAAGTGTCCATTTACGACACGTTTCGTAAAGTTACAAATATATTTCGGAACGAATGCAAATTTTGGGGTTGAAAGTCATAAAGATAGACAAAAAATTTAACAATTTGAATACCGCGTAGATGAAGCTTTGGATTTTACACAGCAACGACGTATCGTAATTTGTTAAAAACGAAGTTTTCGTAATAGAAAATTAACCGAGTAAATTTCTTAAAATTACGATAATTGTTTTAACAGTGTTCAATTTTGTGCCCAAAACAATTCAGATAAAGAACGAAGCATATTTATTTAACACATTGAGTGTAGCGTGACAAACCATGGTCCCCAACAAGATTGCCTACCCCTGCCGAGCTTGGTGATTTTTTTCTTCAACGACCGGCGCACTGGGTGATTATTCAGAGAAGACGCAGGTGCAGGCGGGTTTGCCTACCCGATCTGCCCGTAAGGCGCCATGGCCCCTTGGGTAGGAAAACCCGCTCGCAGCTGCGTCTTCTCTGAATCATCCGGTACATTTTTTCGCTTCACTCGTGAATTGCTGACTTGGACTTGAATTTTTGTCGGTTTGACACTTTTGTCGGCACTTCCCTCTCGGCGGTGCCGCAACAAGTGCCCAATTTGTGTGGCCGGTCAAGGTGCAACAACTACAACAACGCGTTGCGCCACGCCACGCACCGCGCACCGCGCACAGGCGTCGGGACTCGGTCGGGACGCGACGTCGAGAGGGACGTCTGGCCAGCGTCGCGGTGCAGAGCCCGAGCCGCGCCGGGCTCAAGACGGCGCCACCCCGGCGCGGAGGCGGAGACCCAAACGCACGCCGAGACAAGAGATCCGACTAGACCAACCTATAACTGGCACGCTAACACTGTGAAAAGTAGTTGTACTTTTAACGGGAAAACTTTGCATGAAGAGTGTCGTAAAGTTACAATGAAATACATGGAATCGTCAAGCAAATTGGGGTCTGATAAATTTTACAAAATATTTTGTTAATGTTAATCACAACATAAATTACCAGGTTTTTCATAATGGAACGGCCTGCCGCTGTGCTGAGAAATTACTGGAAACGCAAGTGTGTGAATGTCGCACACTTGCAGGTGTGTGAATATCCATTCGTACACTTACGGGGGTAAACGTGTGAATTTTGTAGGAAAAATTCACACGTTTACCCCCCTATGTGTACGAATAAACATTCACACACCTGCAAGTGTGCGACATTGACACACTTGCGTTTCCAGTGTAAATAACATACACCGGTGTACGGAATCTATCGTCTATCGTTCAAACGTCAACTTTGAATTATTGGAGCGATAGCAAAGACCATTTACTACACCAAGAAAGGTTAGTTCTTGCGACAAGTGCAGAACAATACTTAATACGCGATCATGTTTGCTCTTGAAACAAGAGGCCAATAATACTCTGTAAAACCTGTTACGCGCGACGCATAGACTAGCAAATGCACTCCCCGGACTGCCCCGCGAAACCGCGAGGACCCCGCGGAACTCACGAGACACTCTGTTGCCCCCTCTTGCATACTACGTCACTTTGCTTTGGATTTTTCGCTTGTTTCAAGCAATTTGTGCTCTTGTGTCGTGCAAGAACACAACTTTTGTTTCAAGAACAAAGAACACGCTTAAAATGAACAGTTTCAAGTGGAGAGCATGGAATACCAATACCACAGACCATTGTCCCAAGTAAATTCACATTGCCCGAAGTAAATTTGCTTTACCTGCTCAAGCACATTTTGCGCTAGCACAAGCCAAGCACAAAACGTTTTTCGGACAATGCAAATTCACTTGGGACGAGAACTGTTTTTTCTGGGTGTACTTGGCTGAATCAAAACAATTTTCCTTCGGCTTGTTTATTTTTTTACGATAACTTGAGATTGAATTGTTCTAGTTCTCTACACATTTCATGGTCGTCTTGTCTAACAAACATTTAGTTATTGTTTTGAGGTGTAAAAATCGACAGACTCTCAAAAGGTGCAAAACACTCTCAAACGGGACCTACCCCTTGAAAATTGCAAATTATGAGTCGGAAATTCACCTCGTCCAGATTCCAGGGGCTCTAGTTCTCTGGGAATAACGGCTAACTGGATTTTAAATAGGAACCGTGACCATGTAAAAGGCAATAGTTAGTCACATGTTCTTTTAAAATAACAATTTTAAAAGGTTATTTACTTGCTGCTAGTGTTTTGCCCCGTAGTCGCGCACTTCGCACTTCCAAGCGTGCAACTCAGTAATTGTGCCCTTCAAGTTTTCGACTCTTTGTTCCTTATCTTGGAGGCACACACTTTTTAAGTGTTGAAGAGAGCAGTTGCAGCACTTACAAAGTTGAGCAGTTGTACACATCGTTTATAAGTTTACAACTACCCGGTTGAACCCTTGCACGGAGAAGCTTAAAACTTAACACTTTGGAAGTGCACAACTTGGAGTTGCGCACTTTCAAGGGTTTACTGGTTGCACACTTGGTTCGACAAATAATATCTTTTAGCACATTTCCCTCGTTTCACTTGCTGACAGAACTCTATCCTCTAAATTGGCACTATTTGAAGTTCACAGTCTTCGAGGAGTCAGGCGCTGGATAATCCTTGTAATCCGTCGAGGGGAGCCCCAATGGGCACATGGCACACACGCACAGTCTCTTTGTAATCACTTCACTATTCGTTGATCGCACACAACACTTTGCTTGAGGTACGCACCATGTGGTGGTGGTGCATGGTGGGGCCGTCACTATCTGGGCGGGGTGGCTGAGGGGCAGAAACTGACTGGCGACGTCCCGCACATTCCTATATTTATACCAGAGTGAAATCTCATTCGGGGTGCTCGATGCGCCCGCCCCACCCTGCCTTGGTCGCCTCGTCCCTCTTCGCGGGCCCTGCGCTTCGCGCCCTCCCCCACCTCCCTAGAGGACTAGAGCTCCTCCCCCTCCAGGATGGCCAATGCTGCCCCGTCCTGCCCCCTGCCGCGAGAGACGATCGGTAAAAAAAAAAGCAACTCTCCCATTACGCATAGAAATTACGACTAAAATAAAGAAGAATTTGAATCAGCAATCGCATGGGAAACATTCTTGTGTAGGGGATAGAAATTGCACGTCACAGCATAGCATGAGAGAGAGACTTAGCCTTTTTTTCTGTTCTATACTACTCCGCTTAGCCATTTGGAATGTACAGTCCCCTTTTTTACAAAAAGGTGACGGACACCTTTTTGCGAGTGACTCACCGGGTGTTTCAGAACGGACGCTACGGTATTGCATACTCACTAGAGCCGCAGGGGCCTTACAAACGTAATGAGTAAGGCAAACCCGCAAACACTCCGCTGTCTTCTATGAAACATACGGTACATCCCAATAATGTGCATCCTCTACTTACTGACTCATCTCTTGACAAAGGCGCCTCACCAGAGACAAGAGAACACGGGGGCGGTCCTGAACACATTCAATGCAGCGCGACCAAAATGTGGTCACGCCATGCTGTTTTTGGTTGTTTTTTTTCAAACTCCCTCGATGCACAGATGTACTGACCGCGTCTTAATACGCGCATGGCCCTAGCGCCCACAAGTGCGCCGTAAGTCGTGCACTCGCAAGCAACACACGCGCGGTGGATGTCTCGGGGCATAACACCCAGCGAGTGAAACGAGTCATATCTCGTATAACGTATCTCATGAAAAGACAAATTGTGCAATATTTCTTCCTGAAGTCTAACTTTAAGGAAAGTAATGGAAACAGACAAAAATAATGAAAAAGAGATGCAATATTTTTCTTTACAGTGGACCTGCATCGTGCTTTACGGAGGGCCCTGGGGCCCTGACCCTGAAATGATGATGAGGACATTTTTCTATTTCTCTTATCGCTTGCGTAGATCGCGTATATCGATGATACGAGCAGTGTACCTCCAGTGTAGGACCATGCAAGGGACCATATCTTACGAGTAGTGGAGGGGGATAGAGAGGAATTGGGGGAGGGCGAAGGAGGAGTGTGTCAACGAGTTTTAGTCCCGAAAAGCCGTTTGGGCCGAGAGTCAAGGTTTCTGGATAACAACAGTACAAGGGCCAAATTAATTAACAGACACGCGTACGGCAAGACGATGCCGTGTTTATCGCCCGGCTCTACAGGGCACAGCCCGGCACAGCCCGGCCCTGCTGCACCAGTGTGTGTGGCAACAGAAGGCTCCAAGTTATGGCAGGGGGACTTATCGCTCGTTTCGTTCTTTCGTCACTTTAAAGAGAGAGAAAAATATCATCCCTCCCCTGGCTGATAATGGGACAGCAGAGTAAAGGGGTGCAATTCCTTCTCCAAGAATCTATAACGAACAAAATCCGATTTCAAGTAGCTTGATTCTTTAGTGCGTTTAAAAAAATTGTTTAAAAGTAAATTTTTGTAAGAGTTTAAGAAGGGCAGGTAAAGTTATGCAAAATGCGCTGCAAGGTGAACGCGAAGAACAGGGTCGTCTTCGAAACTGTATTCTTGTTATTTTCAACATTTTCTTTGTATTATTACCTAGCTGTTCACATGCTTAAGCTTACTCATTCACAAACAAATAGTTCGTTATGCTAACCGATTATTGTTCGTACGAATTTTCACGAGCATGCAAAGAAATGCTTCTCAATACAGAAGAATGCGAATTATTCGTAAAGCTGCAAACAATTTGGTTCTTAAGCATTTCCTAGTAACACAAAACTATCACACCTATACTGTAATTTTTTTCAATTGGCCGAACAAAAATCCAATAGTAATGGCTTTCCCACAGTCAGACGATTATTGCTGGTCTATATCAAATTTAAACTATCCATTCTGTTGTATTTTTACCTATTCCTGTTCGAACCCACTACAGTGGTAAGCACTTCCATTACGATAGCCGACCGATAAAGATTTTCGTACCGAGGAAAAAAGATCCCTATATAGAGATAGAATCATTTTTCTCATTTCGTATATCGCACCGATAGTCCGTATCTTTTTTTCTACTGTTGTCCAACAATCGTACGACAGTTCTATGCTACTAGGGTTTTACAGTGCGAGTCTCGCTCGAAATCCTCACACACTCGCAGTGTGCTCTTGAGTCGTGGTGGCCGGGCGTGGGCGGCTCTCTCGGCGGAACCAGTTCGATCAATGGGAGAGGGCGCAGGATGCGTCACTTTCGTGTGTCACTAAAGGTTAGCTCCTCACGCCACGTAGCCAAAAACTACCTTGTAAAAAGGTCTTGTACACTTCGAAAATTTTAGTTTTTCATTTCTCCTCTCTTAATGTAAAGGGACTATTTTGTTCCCAAGAATAAACATCCCGACCCAGAGCAAACGATCCCTTAATTTTAGGAACAAAACTGCACTCTGGAAACTCGGGTGTGAGACAGTCTAACACCAAATGGTGTTAGGCAAAATACCTCACACCAAATGGCGTGAGACTAGTTGTGCCTCACACCAAATGGTGTGAGACCCTCTGTGTCTCACACCATTTGGTATGAGAAAGTATCACTCCATTTGGTGTGAGGCACAACGAGTCTCACACCATTTGGTGTGAGGTATGTTTGCCTCACACCGTTTGGTGTGAGGTATTTTGCCTAACACCATTTGGTGTTAGACTGTCTCACACCTGAGTTTCCAGAGTGTACCTTAACAAAATTGTACCTTCACATTTAGAATGTTGCCTTCTTTAAATGGAAGCGTTTGAATTTCTGTAAATCAACATCATGTTTTGATATTTTGATATTTACATTTTGATATTGAAACCCCTTTTGTCCTTTGAGACAATTTTCTTTTGTTTACAGACATTCGCGGGAGAGACGCGGTGGTGCTGTTGCACGCGGGGCAGCAACCGTTGGCCTGGCACAATAAGTAATAATCACAATCAGACCCCCGTATTATTCTCTGATATGATTCCCCGTGCACCTCGTCGTTCTGGATGCTGGCGCACTAGTTTCCTAAGACGGGCGCAGAGGGCACTCGGACGCCACCACCTCCTGCTCCAGTGGGCCCTGGCTGGCCCTGTCCGGAACGTCTCTCTCTCTCTCTCCCTCTCCTCGCGACCGTTAGTCACAGCAAGTGCGAGTGCGATGCCGGGGACGCCCCGAAAGCCTTTTCTCCTCTTCCTGGCGTGGGTGGCGGGCTGGCGTGTGCGCGGGAGTCGCCGTTATGCAAACACACAGCCGCCGCGGGGCGCCGTATCGGACGGCGTCCAGCCTCATTCCGCCCAAAGCCGCGTACTCCGCCTCATCATCCCGTGATGCCCTCCTGTTAGAGTGATCTTCAGCCACGATCGATGGCGCGGGATCCGGGTGCTTATGCTTGGCGGGGGGTGGGGGCAGCGCCGCCGCCGCGCCGTCCCCGCGGGCCTTCCTATAGCCACTCTGCGCCCGCCCCCGCGAACTGTTCCCCAGTCACTGCTCGGTGGGCTCCCTTCACCCCTCTCCCTCCCGCTCTCCCCCGAGGAAGAAATTAGGGCAATGGGACTGGACGCACAGTCGCATCAGCAGCGACGCACGAATCGGTTTCACAAGCTGCTCTTTTTAATTAATTGCAAGTCATACAGGATGAGTCGCGTCTCGGTTGCGCGCGGTAGTGGCGTAGTCAAGAAAGGAGGGAGACAGATCAGCCTCCCCCCCCCTCTCTCTCTCTCTCTCTCTCTCTCTCTCTCTCTCTCTC